CTCTGGTCGACCAAAATTACAGCGAACTGGTCAAGTAGGGCGCCCAAAGAAAATTTATAAAATGGTCGAAGTTGAGCAGCAACAACAGCAACAAAATGAAGCAGATGTTGATATAGAGGAAGTTCCTGTTAACGAATTTGTTGATTTCGTGGGGACGGCACAAATGACTTTGGAAGATGTTTTTCAAAGCAAGGATCGAGAAGAATGGGAGAAAGCGATACTTTCAGAAATTAGAAGCTTAGTCCAGAAAGATACGTTAGAAATTATAAGAAGACCAACAGATAGAAATATAGTTGGATGTCGATATGTATTGACGACGAAATTAAATGTCGATAAGACGACTAAGAAAAAGGCTAGACTTGTTGCACAAGGCTTTAGTCAGCGTTTTGGGGTTGATTATTACAAGACTTTCGCGCCCGTTGCGCGATTGGATACAGTTCGATTACTGTCGGCGTTAGCAGTTGAGTTAAATATGGAAATACACCATTTAGATATTAATACAGCTTATTTAAATGGATTCTTGGATGAAGAGATATACATGGAGGTCCCTAAGTTATTGAAAGAGTGTTTGTTAAAACTTGTGGAGAATGACGAAGATCAAACAGTCGTAGAACGAGCTAAGTGTATGTTAAACAATTTAAATGCTGGATGCGATACTTGTTTGTTAAAAAAATCTTTATATGGCCTAAAGCAAGCAGGTCGGCAATGGAATATCAGACTTGATGAAAAACTAAGAAGTATGGGGTTGAAACAAAGTTTGAATGAGCCATGTTTATATTTTAAAAAGGTAAATAAATGTAATTTATTTGTGTTAGTGTATGTGGACGATATTTTGGTCGCATCTGAACAAATAGATTGCATTAATAATTTTAAGAAAGAACTGTCTAAAGAGTTTGAATTAAAAGATCACGGTCTGGCACGATATGTTTTGGGAATTGACGTGAAACAAAAAGACAGTGTCATTGTTTTGTCACAACAAAAATATATTTCCGACCTTTTAGAGAAATTCGGTATGAAAAGTTGCAATCCATGTTCAACACCGATGGAAATAAATTCTTTGAAGGCTATGGGTAAAGAGCCAGAAAAATATAAACAAGAAGATGAAGTGTTTAAAGCTAAGTGGCCGTACAAAGAGATTATTGGTTGCTTGATGTACTTGAGCGTAGGTACGAGGCCTGATATATCGAATTCCGTTGCTAAGCTTGCTCAATTCACAAATAGCCCTGAAACGTGTCACTGGAAAGCAGCGAAGAGAATTCTTCGTTACTTGAAGAAAACACAAAATTTCGGTTTAATATATAGGAAGACAAGTAAGTCTCTATATGGATTTTCAGACGCAGACTGGGGTAACTGTTTATTGGATAGGCGTTCATTTTCTGGTTATGTTTTCATTTTAGGTGGTGCGAGTATTTGTTGGAAATCACAAAAACAAAGGATGGTTGCGCAGTCGACATGTGAGGCTGAGTATGTGAGTTTGTCTGAAGCGCTGAAAGAAGCCGTTTATCTTAATAGTTTATTAGGCGAAATTGGACAACTTAGGTACGTACACACAACTTTACACGCCGATAACCAAGGGGCGCTGTTTCTTGCGCAAGACCCCGTATACCATGCTCGCAGTAAGCATATTGATATTAAATATCATTTCATCAGGACCGTGTTAAGGGACAGTCGTGATATTGAAGTGAGACATGTACCCACTGATTCGATGGTAGCGGATATATTGACGAAACCGCTACCTATTTCTAAACATTATGCGTGTGTGGACAAAATGGGAATTAAACCCATCAGTTAATAATTGTTTTCTTTTAACTGAGACTTAAATTTAAAGGGGCGTATTGAAACTTCTTTGTGGCCGTAATGTAAATTTAAGTCTGGCCACATATATATGTTGATATTATTTTTCTACACGTTTTTTGTTTCTATTCAAATGGTTGTCTTGTCTTGTATCTACACGTATTATATATATATTGTTGTTCTAAAGAATATTATCTTTCACTGTGACCCTCTACATATATATATATATATTGTTGTCAATAAATGTTTTTTTTCTTTCTATATAATTGTTATTAAATTTGTGGCAGAAATTTATATTGTCAATTTAAATTGGAAAGTAAAAAGGATTTGAAAGAACAAGATAAATTGTGCATATTGATTTGTAATGATAGATACTTATTTTGACTGCTTATTTTTACTTATTTTATGTTTTCTCTTTCTCACTCATTTTTGTATTATTGATAATGGCCGCCATTATAATTAATAGATACATGTTTATTAAATTGAAAGTAATATATAGATACATATATTTATATTAGAAGAAATAATTACGAATTTAAATTTAAAGAAATCGACCTCATCTGGAAAATTTTTAATCTAATTACTTACAACACTGAAAAAAGTGTTTTATTTTGATTGCGTATTGCAAAAAAGGATTAAATTAAAATACGTAAATATTTAATTAGTCAAATGTCAACTTAGCTAACTAAATTTTGACTCGTTTTTGACACTGAATACTCTATATACAATTTACAGTTATTATAACTATTATATATAATCTGTAACGCCATTGTCTTTACCTTATTTGCTAAAAACATGACCAATGTAGATTTCGTTTCAAAGATTAACACCACTTCCGTTATTGTTAGTGGAACCTAGCCGAGATATCTGTACGACAGTCCTTTATGGCGTTAGATAAGTTGAAGATGAATGCCCCTATTATCTGAGTGAATTACAAGATTGGATCATTTGTCATAAAGTTGGACAATCCTCGTAAACACATTGTAAGTTTGTTAGTCACATGTTTATTACGTGAGTTTATGCCACGCCAAAGATTTTATGAGCGAAAACTCTATCGCGGTCAGTCTGTACTATCTGTTTGGACAGTTTATTTTGCATCAGAAATTATTTTTTATTTTACAGAGAAACAACTGTAATAGCACAGTTTTACTAAACAATCTCCAAGAGATATGGAGTGAAATATGAATATATGTTTTGTATCTTTCGAAACTTATGTTCATTTTTTAACATATCTATATATCTCTCTATATATTTAGATATTAATGCGAGGTGCAGCCCACAGTGTGAGGCGAAATGCTGCGATGCAAAGCACCGCAATACCCCTGAAGAAGACTTCTGAATGAAGTCGAAACAATTGTCGGAAACGACAAACATAGTCATAAAATTTTCAATATAGATATAGATATTTCGTATTTTTCATTCTAGGTCAATGGTTCATAATTATTTTTGTACTAAAGTACGGCTTTTCTGACCTAAATATAAATAATGCCATATAATAAATATTAATTCATATAATACATTCCACATGTGTGTAGTTTTCTCATCGTTAGTAACAGAAGTATTAATAATTATTATTTTTTATTTTTAAGAGTTTTTACCTTCAGGTATAAACATATATTAATATGTAGACCTTACTCTAGGTTACATATTCTTATTTACACAGACAAACCCGAAGAATGTTCATTATAAGTATAGTATACACATAATAAATGTAAATTTGATTCATAGACTTTACACCGAATTTCGTTCAAATACTTTGAACTGTTATAAACTTCATACCAACAACACCATTAATACAAATTACAAATTTTCACATCTGTAATATTAATAAGATTATTATGACTTTGATATATTGTATATCCAAATATTTTTAGTTTCACGAAATGTAGTAAGTACTTTGTCTTTAATGTCTATTATATTAATCAATATGTTTATCATCGAAAATAACTACCTATTGTTATAATCAATGAAATGTAATATATATAATCTATAATAAATGAAATGTAATAATAGGTATATAATAATTTTTATTATTCTTATACGTACTCAGACTCCCAAATTAATTAATTAAACTATTGTTGCTGGCTAGAAGATAATAAAATTTGTACGAAAGTAATTAAATATTCAAAAGTTTAAATGTTAACACTCGTTCGTTCTCTCTTTATAAAAACCTGGGTCGCTTCTACTTTGCTTAGTAGAAAAATAAAAAAGTTTTTACAAAGTTAAATCAACTAATAAAAGAAAATAACCAGAAAACGGCTAAAATTTCCATATTACCAAAAATATCTTTACAAGTAGGTATGAGTATTTTTTATATTTTACGATTCTAGTACTGTATGGAAAAACGAAAATCTTCAGCATACTCATTGCCCATCTAAATAGAATATATTAGAATTGCATTATTTACACACACTGGTTACACGAGTTTGTGGCAAGTTCCCTATTCACATGACCTTCCAGGAATTCAAGGAAATTTAACATTCACGGACAAATAAAGAGTAATGACGGTGACGAACTAAAAATACAATGTGTTATCATTCCTTTCTGTTCCTGTGGATATCTCAAGTAGCGATTATGTATACAAAACGATAGACCCAACCAAGAGTGGTAGTAATAAGTCAATATTCTTCTCTTATAATAGGTTATACCTATACTTTTTTTTTATTTCGCTTAGTCCTGTAGTACTGTAACCTTCTATTTCTATTGTTCTCGATCTTTCCTACAGTTTGCTGCTAAAAACCATCAGTGACATGAATTTTATGTTTTTAATTTTATGTTCTTTATCTATTCAGGAATTTTTTTATAGTTAACATTAATGTCTACTTTTCAAATATCTATATATAATTTTAGATAGATTGAGATTGTATTTTAGAAAGAAAATTGAGTATTGAGTATTACGTTCTATAAAATTTAAAAATAATAAATACCACTAGATACATTACACAAATAACAAAATACACAATAAAAAATATATATAATTAATTTTTATAAAGATATATTTCTTTTATACATGAATAAAATATACCTATAACACCTACCGAGACACACTCATAATAATTACAAGTGTTTGTATTGTACGAAGATCGAACCCGTGACCATCGGTAGGTGTAGCAGTATATCAAGCCGTTACATCACCAATATTAATAAATTATATTGTACAGAAGGGATATTTTATAGCTGCAGAAAAGCGATGAATAAATAATTACCTCTTGCGGGAAGATGTGGGGTACAGCGCGCTCGTCGGAGCGGCGGCCGAAGCGGAGGCGTACTGGCGTGCGTACATCGCGGAGAGACAACAGCTCGTCCATTTCGTCAAGCTAAAACAACATACCATGTTAACCTTTAGAATAACCCGCGGCAAGTCGTAGTGTCTCGCAGAACTGTATACTTGAAGGTTAGCCTTCAGGTATAGAATTCTATACATTTTATATTTAGTATAAAATATATTTAACCTTAAGGGTTTGTGTATAACAAAATACGTCGTCATTCGTCTGACCATCCCACGGTTTGGTTGGTATAACCTCAAGGTGAAAATATTATAATATTACATAATTCTCATCTTATTTTACCAATATAATAAAATTGTAAATATATGATGTGAGTACATATTTAAGAAAAATTTATATGAATGCTCTTAATGAGAGCAATAGAAACCAAAACATATTTTTTTAGGAATTTTGTCTCTGTCATAAAATGGAATGCAGTTTTCACTCTAACTTAAAAACTAGTGTATAAATTATCTTCATAAGCCATCTAAAGTACGAAGAAGCGGGCAAAAAGCTTGTTTATATACATATATAAAACTAGCTGTCCGTCCCGACTTCGCACGGGTGTGAAGATCTACCTACTCTCTTCTGTCTTACTCACTTTTTTCATAAAGAAATAAAGCCGATTTTTTCGTTACATTTTTCAAACATTTTCGTACACACAAATGTAATTCTGACTTTTATAAATACGACAAAAAAAAGTACTCGTATTAGATAAATAGATGCAGTCGTTTCAAAGTGATGCTTTTACATACAAATGGTAATTGATTTTTATTTATATAAGAAGATATGGCAGTGAGCTGACAATATTTGTCGACGATAGCAGCAATAGCAGGTGGGGAAGGAAAATCTTAGAATGCGTATTGCGTATACGGACGACGCGACGGAGTGTCGGACGCTCTCCATTTATATGGATCGATGACATTAAGAAAACGACCGGTAGTGAATATATGCAAAAAGTAGAAAACATTGGGGAAGACCTATGTCTAACAGTGAATAGATGCAGGCAGAAATTATAATGATATGAAATATTACAATTTAGGGATGACTTCGTTTATATGAAATTATATTAAGATATTAGTTATGCGGTGTGATCCCAGTGTTGAATGAGACATCCCTTCCTTTCCCGTAGATATTGTAAGATGCGACTAAGGTCTTCTAGCGACTAAATGGTCAAGGGATGGGCAGCAGCGTCCCTCTTAACCTTTGCAAGCATCACCAACCGCAGTTAGGCTAATCGCAGTTGCCAATCCACCTGGCAAGCGTGGCAACTATTGACAACCTCTCTTCACTTATGGTGGAGGTTTATGATCAATAATGAATACTTAACGACTGATATGATGATATTGAGTCACATCCCACACGAACGTATTGTTGTATGTTAAACTAAAAGATCCTAAAGATGTCAGCCTGAAATAATATTGGTTATTTTTTTTAATATTAGGTAATACATATAGATTCAACATCGTCATCATCATCATCATTTCAGTCATTATTCGTTCACTGTTGGACATAAGCCTTCCCATAGACTGCCATAAGGAACGGTTCTGAGCCTGCATCCACTGACTTCTTGCAATGCATTTGAGATATGTGTCACTCTATCTAGTGGGGGATCGTTCTACACTAAGTTTTCCTATTCCGGGTCGCCATTCTAGAACCTTCCTTCCCCGTCGGTTGTCGGTTCTTCAAACTATATAACTAGCCGATTGCCACTTCAGCTTGCTTATCCTTCGGGCTATGTCGCTTACTTTAATTCTTTTGCGGATATCCTCGTTTTTGATTCTATCATGCAAAGAAACTCCGAGCATAGTTCTCTCTATAGTCCAAATATAAATAGAGTGAAAAGTTTTTATTTGCACTACATATAACAAAACCGCTTAAACCAGGAAATATGGAGGTATATATACCTATGTCTAGCAATTGTATTATCATATATAATAGAATATTCAGATTGTAATAATGTAAATAAATTATTTATTGTTTCATTACTATTCACAGTTCTATGTAATAATTTGTCCCGTTATATTTTAGTGACAGGTAATCATCAGCGACCGTGGATTTACTGGCAGCCGTTTATAAACGAGCGAAAGTACGTCGAGATGAATTTGTTATCCACATCCGTAGGTATACCAATATAGAAAAAGGATAATAATCTCGTTACGATGACAATGTGTGATATTGACAAGCCTTGGGTTCTTTTTGGGTTGCATTTATGCGCATATTATTTATGTACTATTAGCACTTTTATTATTTTCACATATACTATTTTGATCTTAGCAGGAGTCAGGGGACTTATTATAAATTATTACTTATTATATGCTATTCCTGAGGACTCAGGTGTAGAAACCTCTGTACCCTGTAAAGTCACTGCCATATCCCACCCCTTAAACCGAAACATAGCCATGCAAACACAACTACTTCACTATTCTATATTTATAACTATTTATACAGTATGAAAAAACAGCAAGTCAAGCCAATAGTAAACTAACCGTTTTGTTTTTTAAAGTTTTTTGATACTCAAAACTTCATCCAATATATGATCTATATATTACAATATATACCCTCTTAAGTCTGGTAATAGTTAGTTATTAACAGTATTAATCACATAGGGGAAACTTTACCAAATCCTTCTTATATTACTCATTCTTGAGTGTAATAGGCTTCATAGAAAGCCAAGTGTAACAAACAAGTTAGGAAAGGAAACTAGAGCGCCCATCACTCTATGTTTTACGAATTAATCTTGTTGACTCGTACCTATTAAGGCGTGACTAGAAGAACGGTATTTAATAGAACAATAATCAATGTGGATATAAATTTATTTTATGATTATTATAGATTTAAAATGCCAGTTGTCAGTTTACGTGTGTCATTCACGACTCAATGTTTATCTGTCTATCTTTTCATAATAAATTCGGATTGTAAAAGATGATTAAGGAAACAAAACACAATACATTAGTACGACAGAAATAAATCTCGAAATAAGACTCTATATCACGCCGTTTGGCCATAGCGTAGTAATAGTAGGTTAATATCCTCTTCTTATAGTGGGAGAGAGGTCAGTGGTAGAACATTGGTGGTTTGTTAAATAACAATACAGCATTGGTGAAAAATATGGATTAAATATCTTATATATCCTATATTGAAAGTTCATTTCGGTATGTACACATATTAATGTATTTGCAATTAATTTATGCATATATTAAACTATTAAAGTTAAACATTAATTTCGAGGATGGGACGAAATCTCGAAACTTTATAATTTCAAGTTTTAATAAGATTAGAAGATAGTTACATAACATATAGAAACAGTTACAGTACCAAAACCTCTTAGCCTTATTATACTTGAAAACTAAGTTATCTGATCATAGACCTTGCAGATTAACGACCGATGCATATGCTTGTGTGAATTATCAAATTATTTACTAAAAAATATAAATATAATAATAAAAAAAAAATATTCGAGTAAACTTAAGTAAAAGCAACTTTCTATGATTTTATCGTTGAATTCGGAATGCAATTTTATCCGCGAAAAATTGACAAGAAATTCAACTGTTGCTATGTTAGTAGATACTCGTAGATATCTTATCCTAATAGAAATAAATTGTAACTGGACCCTGTTTGTATATAGAAGATATTTAAAAAACAATAAAAGGGGTCTTGATAGAAGCAATACAAGCCAAAATAATAATTTTTAGCAATTTTGTTTGCCTCAAGGCTAAAATATGAATATTACAATATTCTCCTTTTTTCTTTCTAATATAATAAAATTGTAAATAGACGGTGTCTGAGAGATATTTATATATATACATTCTGCGAGATATTTAAGACAAATAAATATAAGACCAATAGATGCCATAAAGATAACATTTAGAGATTTTGTCTGTCTGTCTAACTATATGTTTGATCAGGCATCACGCAAAAACTACTGCACCAAATTGAACTGTCACTGTCGTATTTTTGAATCAGCGCGTACGATATAGCCAGCAAAAAGCTAGTATGAGATAAATATAATCACGTCGTACCCTTGATCCGAACTTAACTGAATCACTCAGTCTAGTGAATTTCAGTACACTTTACTGTTTTTAAGCGACTTGATAAAAAATAGGACATTCTGTGTTCACCGTTTGCGTATATTATACTTATGATGATATTATTAATTTATGACATTATTCAAAATACTAAAATATTAAAAATAAAAACAAATTATACAGTGGAAAGTATTTTGTATAATATAATATGGCGATATTCAGCATTTGTTACAGTTAAATAATTTTATGTATTACAAAACATGTTAAAAGAATTTTAGTAAATAAATATTGTAGTACTAAAAGTATACCTACAACATGATATGCGTAGCGGTTTCCACATGAATTATTATTCAAATAAAATTGTTCCTTCTACATACTTATTAAGGAGGTATTTACCTAATTAGAATGTAGTAATTTTTGGGCTGTCATTTTTTGGAGAGCGTAAAAAATAATTTTAATAGTAGTATCATTAAATATGAATAATTATATAAATAAATGAAGATAGTCTATAAGGTGTGTGTGTGTGTATGTGTGTGTATGAGAATATTAATATAATTTACCAACAAAAGCTGCAAATATTATTACAATTAAGTTTAATTAAAAAAAAATTGATCTACTAACAGGTGCCTGGGGCGGCATATCCGGGTCCGACCGTCTGCCAAATCGGAGACGTCGTGAAGGCGACCGCACTGATTTGCGAGCCAGAGCATGTCCGCCGAGAGCGTCGTGCTGTGCTAGTAGAGCGTATAATCCACCAAGTGCATCCCAGCCGCTTTGACTTTCCGCCGCCGCTGCTGACGCTGCAAAAACAACAATAATTGAAATCTATGATTCAAGATCAATATATCTATTTATCTAAATTATATAGATTAATATACATAGATGTATTATTTAATATACAGTAATTTGTAGGAAAAACCTAATACGATGGTTAATAAAACAAAAAAACACAAAATCTACCACCAAAAATAAGACAAGATCAGGACTATGATGATAAAAATGTTTTTAATATTCATCTAGATATTATAACAAGCAATATAAGTTATTGTCGAAGTTTTATTGATTTAGAGCTAAGGGAATAAGAGAAAAAGTTTTTACTACCTAAACTATCGATGGAATCATTGTTAAACGATTTTTTTTGTTTTGAAAATGCTATCGACTATAGATCTATACTCATAATATTGAGATGAAAAGATAAATTATACTATAATCGATAAGCTAAGTGACTATCAGAGGGACTGTATTGGTATGTACTTGGACTAAAACATGTATAAATAGAACAAGATAGCCAAATTGGTAAAACTAATCTTTTTAATCAACTGAAGCCTATGTTAGTAATGTAAATTTTAGCATCTACTACTTGTGTACCACTACTTCGACTTCGTATTTTAGATATACTCGAAGAGTAAAATTTTTATGTTAAAATTACAATTATAATCTCAGTAATATAAAATTGCAATGGCATTTTAACAAATGTTGTTTTTTTTTTGTCACGCCAAGACTTTTTAATACACCGATATAAAACTTAAGTTGTTCATAGTTAATTCATACATTAGATGACGCATAATATAACAACTGTTTTTGCTACATCTCATAATTATTAAGGGTGATTGTAGGAAATAATGTGGATTAAAATCAAGGCATAAATTAAGATCTACTTACACAGAGTTTGCTCACAAAATAAACATTCCATAACTAGCATGCTAGCACTTTTACTATTATAAATGGATGGTTCATTTATAATAGTAAATCTAGATATTTTTTTATGAAATTTAAAATAGCTTAATTAGCTAACGGTTCACATGATGGACAGTGGTAAAAATTGCCTATAGACAAAAACATGGGCACGCAGAGAATACATATTCATTATATACATTCGAGCATGGTTTTGAATCCTGTAGTCTGAATTATATCTGATTAAAACAAAAATTAAAACAAATTCATCATGATGTGAACGATGAATCAATTACAGATAAGACTTTTTTTTAAAGCAAACTCGCTTCAATCCTATCAGATTTTATATGGGGAGCATTTCAATCGATTTTTAATGTTACTTATAATTTTTACTTCAGTTATTGTATTTTGTAACTTTCTTTCAATTTAAGAATCCGGAAGTAACGGACAAAACGTTTCAATAGCGAAGTTTTTGTGAATAATTTTATTTCCTTAGAAGGAAATAGGATTATTATATAGAAGTTAGTAGAATTTTTTTGTTTTTGTTACTCAATCATTCTTATTTAAATGGCTGAATTTTAAGCTACTTTTCATTCTAAACAGTGCGGGTAAGTTATAAGACACTTTTACAATATTATTTTTAAGATTTATTTAACATAATTTACAATACAGTTTTTAATATCATGGTATAAGTAATATTATTATTTGGCACACTGCTTCGCCTTTCGTATTTTTATTTATTTTTTATTTATTAATTTTATTTATTTATTTTTTGGAAAACGTACAGCTGAATTACAGTCAATACATAATCAAATTTATATCTATGTTAAGCCATGAATCGTTTTCACATTTGCGTGATGACAATGATCGGTTTTTATATATGCAAAATACATACATACACATACATACATACATTCATACACATATATATACATATACATACACATATATACATATACACACACACACACACACATACACATACACACGCATACATATACACATCTATAATAATTAAAAAGTTATAAATTTTGATGTATTTGTACCCACGAGTATGTTTGTTCGTATTAGTCTAGGTGTTTTTATCGCCTAATTATGTACGTATCCACAAAATTATTTAATCATTTATAAATTGTTTACTACTCGTAATACAAGCTCTGCTTATTTTGGGATGACAGATGATGCTGTGTAAAATATGTATTTTATTTATTATTTACTAGTGGCCCATTTCGATTTCGCACGGATGCAATGTAATAACAATGTGGTTTCAATGTGCAATAATTAATAATATTATTATTGATTCCGTCTAAATAGTTTTGCAAACTTCACATTATTAATTTTAATAAATCAGCCATTAGCTGACCACCGTCGAACATTGGTCTCTCCTATAAATGGGGTTTTGGCAGTGGTTACCACGCTTAGCAAGCAGGTACCACGCTTAGTTAACAAACAGCAGCAATCACAGTTAGTGATGTTTTGAAAGAAAAGGTGCTGTCCATCTCTCGACTATTAAGTGAATTTAACTCCGCATAATTTATATATTTTTTAAACATGAAAATGGTTATACAAAGCTATCTGTATAATATAAAATGCCAATATTAACTTTTTTGTAGTCCTAATAAAGAGAAACAATTTCGTCATATATTATTTTGATATATTTCAGCATCTCAGTTGACTTGATTTTTATCGACATACAAGTATTGAACAATTATCGTCATATTTCAATAAATTATACTATATAGATACGTATCCACGTAATATGAGTATGCCCGCTTGTGCGATAACACACCTTTCAAAATATTCTTCGTACTGCCTAGACGCTTATTTATTTTGGTAAGGTAAAGACGAACAAAAGTATCGTTTTTACCAGTAGTCTATAAAATTTTTCTAGCGAAAAATCTCGCTATAATAAACTTTTCCTAAAAATGATTTCAATAGAGGGATTGATCTATTGTGAATTTCAATAGACCTTAAAACAGATTTTTTACAACCCTGATATTTATCGGACAGGAAAATAATTTTATAAAGAGACTAGCTTTTGCCCACAATTTCGTACGCCGTTGAACTTATGTTGGACTTTGGAAGTGGGTAACCACTTCTAGATGGCGTATCAAGGTCAAACATACATCAGATTTTAAGTTAGACCTACAGGAAGATCAGTGAAATCACGTTCAATTTGGTGCAATAGTTTTTACTTGATATGTCAGAACAAATATTCAGACAAAATTTCTAATAATGTGCTTTGGCTTCTATAGCTTTTAGTCGTATTAAGAATCCTCATATGATTTTTTCTTAAATAACTCCTATGTACCGTAAGTCTAGTCACGATTTTATTATATTAATAAGATGTATAATGTTTAAGGACACTAAATATTACTTACGTTTCTCACTTAAATTTTATATATCCAGTTAGAGAGACTCTACAAACACTATGCCAAAATCAGCCAAACATTTTAATTCTGTTGTAAGAAAATTCCCATCGCGAATCACAGTTAGTAAATGGAGGTATCAAAGTATTATTTGTAACACTGAAAAACGATGTATGTTTAATTGTTTAAAAAAATTACACGTCAATTAATAATTGGCTAACCGTTTTTGTTTCTTGAAACAATTTTGGCTGAATGTTTTATTCTTTTTATAAATATATAATTTTTTTTAAATAAAATATATCCAAATTTTTTTCGCCGATAATGTAACTTTCTAAGGGTGAAAGGATTTCAAAAACCATACAAATATTTTGACCTAATCAAATGCATTCCCAATTAACCAAAAATACCAATAAAAAAATATTTTCGAATTATATAATTATTACAATATATAATATTAAATGAGATTATCTGCATTAATTTCGTCAACTTCAGTTTCTCGCAAACTAATGAATACATTAGTTTCAAGACGTTGGCGATCCCGAGATGACAAGCGGTGTCGAGCTTCTAAGTCTGAGGCGAGACTTTGCCTTTACCGCTTGTATAAAGGATTGTGTTCTGAGAAATTGTTTGAGATTATGCCATCTTTTGTCATCGTGGTGCTCACTATTGACAATGCGTTTACCCACACAATATAAAACATTAATAGTCACGCATTGTGCGCTTTCACAGCTGTTTCTCTCTGCGAACACACAAGTTGTAGAATATGCTTTCTGCCATAGGTTTTAATACAATAAATTTAAACCATAACATACGCTTCTCTAAAAAGGCTTTCTTTGTTTTCCTTTATTTTCAAGATGAGGTTTCTTAAGGGTCAACGATATGCGTGTTATTCTCCTGACGTTGCAGATATCCATAGGCTACAGTTATTATTTACCATCAGTTGGAAGTAAGCTTATTTGCTCCCATTGCGGGATAATATAAAACCGATCAGGTGCGAGTTTCGCATAAAGATATAAAAATAAAATAGCTTTTATTGCATTTCTGATACTTATAAATACATCTAAAAATTTGTTTACTGATACTATTCATAATTTTTTATTTTGAGACATATTTTTGTTAAAAATTGAACCAAATAACGAAGTTTGTTTTTGGAGATTTTTTAATAATTTCTCAAAAACATCGTTTCATTTTTTCTGTAAAAATCACGTATAACATTATAAATCTAAATTATTTCAGATTTTTCGCTTTAAAAACTTCGAAGATAAGGAGGGGTGGTTTTTCTCACATTTCCGATCGTAAACCATCAGGCAACATTAAAATAATTATAAATTAGTTTCAATATGTTGAAATGAAACCCCCTCATATGAAGTTCATTTGGACTAGTATATCAATTTTGGAGATTTGAAGTATCCCTTTTGGACTCCCCAGCAAAGAAGATAAAATTATTTTTTCAATTATTTCTATTGCAGTATATATGATCCAACAATATGTAAAACTATTCCAATGCAAATGTAATGTGGTCATGAATTTACGTAGTATCGTAGAATTGACTAAAAAAGACCAACTTTTGGAAACTTGATTCAAGAACTATATGAAGTAATAACTAATTTCATAATATAAATCAGACTTCATATTTACATAGACCGAATGATCAAATATATTTTACCTGTTCGCAATATAAAGAAGCGACGGGATATAAAATTAGATGATTAGTGGAGCATTAGACGGTGTACGAGTGGTACGAGGGTGAATATCGA